ACTGATGTTATAAATTCAGACAGTGACTATTTGACAAATAAATACTTGGGAAATCACAAGCTGTCACAAAAGTCAGCAAAGTCATCAAAATGGGTCTTTATGATTTACTGGTACTGAATACTGTTCTGCATTAAAGTTAAGATTATGTGTTGAGATTCTGAATGCTTCCAAGTCTGTCAGTAACTTCCTGTACTGACTTTTGAGATGTACACAAATACTAGGCCTTCTTTTGAAAATTAATTGAATGTATGATGAACTTTCCTCCTTACTTTGAAATTTAAAAAATATCAACAACATGCAAGTGTTACAGTTTCAATCTTATAAAGGATCACGCAACAAATATGACTGTTCATTTAAAGACAAAACCCAAATATTTTGAATTTTTCTGTTAAAGGATGAAACTGAAGGTATGATGGGGTAAATTTTTACCCTGGAATTTGCAGATAAATTTAAGTCCTACATTTAATGCAAGTTTGTACAAAAAAATGTGAGACCAAAATTCAAAAATATAAATACTGATATCAAACAGACTACTGTGGATTCATTTATTTTCGTGGGTACCAATTTTCGTGGATTAAGGAAAACTTACATGTTCGTGGATATTTAATTTCGTGGTTTTTGACAATGTCTGCATACAAGCCTATAGTAAATTTGTCATTCGTTGAACTTTTAATTTCGTGGTTAACATATAACCACGAAATCCACGAAAATTGGTTTTCAACGAATAATAATGAATCCACAGTAAATGTCTTGCATGAGTGCTTGAAAGTCAAATAGATGTTATTTGTAACATTGTATTTTGGCTGCAGGAAGCAAGGAGCCAAGAAAGTGACCTTAACATTGTATTCCTGAAAGTCTATTACATTACTTTGGAAGATGCATACTTTCATAATTTGTTTTATTTTCTTTTTTATATTTTTTTGTGTAAGGGGTGGGGGTATAATTCTTTGAAGTTTTATTTAGATGGTTTTTAAGGATTTTATTCAGATTCAGATCCAGGATTTTGAAAAAGTACATGTATGCGAAGTTTAAAGTGTGAAATTGACATGTAGAAAATCTATACATTAATCATATTTATAGCCCCCCCCTTAAATCCACCTCTGTTAATCAACTTGGTACAAATAGAAGTAAAATTGTCACAGTTTAATGGTTTATTTAGTTATAATGTTGTAAAGTGTTTCCATTCTCAATTTTAATTTTAGATTTTCTGTCAATATTAAAGAACATAAGTTTTATTTTTTGTCCAGAAAATAGCTATAGACATGATAGATATTTCAACCATATTAAATTGTAAAACATATCATTCTTATTTACATCAGCTGGCGACCAAATACAACTGAGTAAAAATGTATGACCATTTAAAAGTTATATCAGACAATTCCTTGTCTTTCTACGCAATGATTATTAAAATCCAACATAAATCTTAAAAGCTTTATATTTTAGAAGGTAGAAGACCTGGATGCTTCATACTTTTGATAGGTGCCTTATGTTACGAAGTTTCCGTCTGTCACATGTCCATTGTCCTTGACCTCATTTTCATGGTTCAGTGACTACTTGAAAAAAACATTTTTTGTCATATTAATTTCTCTCTTATTATGAGTAATAGGATAACTATATTTGGTATGTGCCTACCTTGCAAGGTCATCATGCCTGTCAGACAGATTTCACTTGACCTCGACCTCATTTCATGGATCAGTGAACAAGGTTAAGATTTGGTGGTCAAGTCCATATCTCAGATATTATAAGCAATAGGTATACTATATTTGGTGTATGGAATGATTGTAAGGTGAACATGTCCAAGTGGCAGATGTCATCTGATCTTGACCTCATTTTCATGGTTCAGTGGTCTGGTGGTTATAGTAAGTTTTTATGTTTTGGTCTGTTTTTCTTATACTGTATGCAATAGGTCTACTATATTTGGTGTATGGAAATATTTTATGATGTACATGTCAGTCTTGCAGGTTTTATTTGACCTTGATCTCATTTTCACCGTTCATTGCTCAGTGTTAAGTTTTTGTGTTTTGGTCTGTTTTTCTTAAACTATAAGCAATAGGTCAACTATATTTTTTAGGCAGTTAAGCTGCCTTATGCTAGCACCCTAGATTTGTGTTCTTCCCGACGAATGCTGAAAAAAGTCATTGCTATAATCTAGCAGGCTAATATGTTATTTATAACTAATTTGACATTTTTTTCATACTTTTAATTCTGGAATGCAAAAAATATGACCAGAATAAGCCTAAATGATCGTCGAACGACCCATAATAATTGAAGTTGCACATAGGAGATAGTGCTCAATAGAAATCTGTACGTAGTTTATTATACCCTGTGCTTTTGGCTAAGATGTCAAAGAACAATTGTATGAAATATTTCATCGTCGAAAATCTGTAATTACAAGTCCTTTATATTTCCCAAATGGCAAAATGTGCAGGAATATTGTTCATGTACACCAAATCTCTATGATAGAGGAAATAAAGTTATATATAGAAGTCTAAGTTGGCGGTAATTTTAACTTACACGAAACGTAAGTTCGTTTGATTCTGATGATATAAAGCCCGATTTAAAGAAAGAATTTTTAATCATGATATTCTTTTAGTTTGAGAAGATTGTGATTATTTAATTCAATCCAACTTCCAAGCAAGGACCGAAGCTCATAAACTCGGCAGGACTTTTAGAAAGTTTGGAGAGCCGACAACCTTGCTTCGTAAGTTGCGACCAATCAGGTCGATGCTTCAAGAAATGTGGAACAACTCGTCCGAGAGACAAGTCGGACCGAGTCTACTCGGACCGTCTAAGAAGACAACTCGGACCGCTTGTCAGATTTACTTAGGGTTCATAAAATGTAAGACTAACATGTCTATTGGAGCCATCAATCTTTTGTTGTGAATTGGGGACTATTTAGGGGTATTTTGAGGGGCCTAAAGAAGGGAGCGGTTTTCTGTAGAACCCTATGGGATTTTTTTTTTTTTTTAATTTTCAAATGTGTATTACTCGTAAACAGTAAGTGATAGACACACGTGGTCTTCAGTAATGAGAACAGGACAATAAAACAAATCAAATAAAATATAGGGTCCCCCCCCCCCCCCTTCAATTGAAAATGTGCTTTTATCTTTTAAACGGTCGCGATCCCCACCCCTAAACCATATATATACTTGTATGGGACAATAAAACAAATCAAATGAAAATTTGGGTGAGTTCCCGTCGTTACCCCACCCCCTTCTGTTTGAGAACTTGTAAACGGTCGAGATCCCCACCCCTAAACCATATATATTCATGTATAGGACAATATAAAAAATCAAATGAAATATAGGGGGAGTCCCTAGGGTCACCCCACCCCCTCCTGTTTGAGAACTTGGAAACAGTCGAGATCCCCACCCCTAAACCATATATATTTATGTATGGGACAATATAACACATCAAATGAAATATAGGGGGAGTCCCTGGGGTCACCCCACCCCCTCCTGTTTGAGAACTTGTAAACGGTCGAGATCCCCACCCCAAACCATATTTTTTCATGTATGGGACAATATAACAAATCAAATGAAATATAGGGGGAGTCCCTGGGGTCACCCCACCCCCTCCTGTTTGAGAACTTGTAAACGGTCGAGATACCCACTCCTAAACCATATTTATTCCTGTTCGTCATTTCAAAAAGATTTGAATGACATACATGGTCAATCTCCTAGGCGTCACATATGCATATCACTTTACTAGACCAAACCAATGTGTACTGGACTTTGCCCAATGTCAGGCGACCATGGGAATGACAAGTTATGGGAGCTTTGTTTGGGAGACTTCGTAACAATTATTTCTTGTTATTATAAAATTTTATTGATGCAAAAAATTAGTCTAGGTTAATTGAATTTACTTTAATTATTTTTTGAATTATTTCTGAGCTAATATAAAAATTTTCGTTTATGGCTCATTTTAAAGAAAACATATAAATCTTTCAAGCAGTGTAAATCCCAAGAATGTTTGACCAACTGTTTTATAATCACCTGTCATTTTATTCCAAACTTGGTATGGAGTGACATCATGAACTTGGGGTGAAGGTGGGAGTCATTTACATTTACTATGGGCAGGTCAGTCAGACCTCACCTTTGATCCCTGTAGTAGAAAACATTTGTCTGATTTGTGTCTCATAACTTTTGTACTGTAGAACTCAAACTCAGTGTTCCTTCAAGGGAAGAAAGTCCATTCATACTATTACAAACTCTTAATATGTCAACTCGTACCACTAAAAGTCAACTGGTACCAACGTTAACTACCAACTTGAACAACTGCAATCATTGCGAACTTGTACCACTGCAGACTCACCATTAAAAATATACATTAATATATGTGTCGAAAACCTTGATAAAATATTAATTAATTTGCCTTAATAATTAATTCATTAAATAAACATTAATGTACAATATACGAATCTTTAATGTTTGTTCTTTCAAATCTTAAAAAAAAATTGAAGCAACACTGCCACAGTTTTCATAATTACGTTTGCCTTGGTTTTTGGTTAACTGCCTACAGCGCTTACAGTGCTTTGCTTGTATGGAAGGATTTAAGCTGTACATGTCTGCCTGGCATGGTTCATCTGACCTTGACCTCATTTTCATTGTTCATTGCTCAATGTTAAGTTTTCTTGGTTAAGTCTGTTTCTTAGAAACTATAAGCAATAGGTCAACTATATTTAGTTTATTGAATGATTGTAAAGTGAACATGTATTTCTCGTTTGATTTATCTGACCTTGACCTCATTTTCTTTGATCAATCATGTTAAGTTTATGCAAAAGATTTAGTAAAGCTTTATATTTAGGACTATCAACATAATACCAATGGTTAGTAGAGAAGGCAAGACATTTCAGCATGTGCACTCTTGTATAAGATGTATATATATATAAATATAGCAAAAAAAAGTAAGTGACAAATTTATAATGTACCTTAATGAAAGGCCTTTCATGTCTATATTAATTATTTTTTTCTTTTGTTTCAGATGATATTCCATGACAGCACCTTCTGATTATGAAAATTCTGAATGTAAATGATGGTGACACAATTAGTTATCACTTGCCATTATTGATTGGTGATTTAGAATTGTGTTGTCAAGGTGATGTCACCGTGTGGAACTCTTCTCGTAAGAAAACAAATAAGATAGAATGGCCGATTGTTGATGGCAGATTTAAAGCTTTGGTAAAGCTTGTTTGTGGAAAGAATTTAATATGCATAGAATGGGGAAGCGAACTTTTGACTTTGACTTTGTTTTTCCATCCTCCATTATTCAGACATTATGTACGTCCAGTTTACATCATTTGTTCCGATGACGATGGTTATTTTCAAGGGCCAGATGATGAAGATTGTTCACCACAATGTGCACAAGAGAAGATAACTCTTGCAGCTATGTTAATTCAGTCATTTACTGCTGAAAAAATGTCAGAACATGGATTCGAAAAAACTACATTCCAGCTTGAGCATGGCCAAGGCAATGAACCGGGTTGTAAAATATTCCAAAGCAAACTAACTCAAGATGAAGCTCATAGTATGACAGGTGACGAACTGTGGTCGTACTTTGCGCGGGAACTTATTGAGTTTGATTCAGCATCTAAAGACTATTGTAAATGGTTTTGTTTTATGTCATTTACGAGATATTTCCCTCCAGAAAACTATGTGCCAAAAACTCATGGAGAAATATTGAAATCTACAAAAGGCCATACTGCTTTAGGTAAGATGAAAATAAATATGTTTTTTTTAAGTTGGAAAATCAAAGTAAAAAAGATTTAGTGGTTTCTGCTGCATTCTCAGCAGGAATGCTCAGTTAAAATTTTTTTAGAAAGTCAAAGATATATATATATAAGTATCATGTATGAGGATCTCTTTCACCAAACTGGGACAAAAAAGAACAAACATGCTGAAGGACAAAGACATTAAATCTCTCCTATAAAAAATTTTGTTGGTATAAATTTGTGTGTGCATTGAAATTTTCATAATCTATTTATCATGTTTATATAGCAAATTTTAAAAAAAAAGTGTAATTAGGAAATCTACTTTCATGAACCCCTTCAGTGGCCTCATGATAGCATGCTGACCTCAAGAAATGAAGGTCTTTGGTTCAATCTTCTGTTTTGTCTAACCAAAGACTTAATTAGTGCTTGTTCCTTCTCCACCAATCAAGCAGTATTACAGCAGAACGCATTGAGTGTGTAGGTAAAGGTAATATATTTGGTTAGCTTGTTTGCCAGCTGAACCGTGAAGTCATTATTAGGTTGGGTAAACTACCCTCCTTTAAGAGTAGACTAGTCCGACAGATAACCAATCTGTCTGTAGGAGTAGACTACTCAGAAAGGAGGGTAGTATACCTAACCTAATAATGACTTCACGGTTCAGCTAACAAGCAAGCTAACTTAAGATTCTACTTTTATCTACACACTCAATGCATTCTGCTGTAAAGAGTATGAAAAAGTCTGATAGGCTCTGAGTCCAAATGTTGTGTCTGAGTAGTAACATGTCGTCCTGTGGGCCTTTAGAGCTGTTTAAATTCTGACTCAATTTGTACAAAATGAAAAATATTCCTATCTCATCAACATGTTATCATGGTTATTGACCAGAATGATATGCATGTGATATTTCCCATTGAACATTAAGCTATATACAGTACACACATAGAGTACTGATTCTCATACTCAAAACACTGTGTAAAAACTTGGTGTCACACCAAAAATATCCAGCAACACTCTCTAAATCTCGGGAGGAAATTGGGAGAAACTTGGAGTAATTCCTCCATTTAATCCCTTAATTGTTTATTACTTTGGGGTGGTTTCTCCCAGCACCATGTTTTTCATTGCCATATTTACCTTTGAAGTATGCCAGTAGTTGTTGACTACAATAAACATTTCTTGTGTTTCCTGTCATTAAATGACAGCCACATTTGTAACATTTTAACTACATCAAATTTAGATAGAAATAATTAAAATATCACATGTTTATATAAGATGATTATAATAATTGGAAATTAAGACATGTTTAACTGAATTTATTCAATCTTTTTTTTTAAATTTGAATGAAAATTAAAGGAAGAAATACATATATATTCAATTTTTTTTTTATTCAATTATTTATTATTTGTTTTTATCATTAAATAATTTTTTAATCTGACTACAAATAAAACTTAGAAATATCAACTAGCTATTCTTGATTATGTAAGCAAGTAAATAATTTTCCAATCTTACAAGATAAAGGAAAACAAATATCAATATATATATAGTTTAAAAATTTTTAAATTTCATTTCATTACCTAAATTTTCAGATATTTCAGAAATAAAACTTTTAAGGAAAATATTTCAAGTAGGATAAAGTATTTAGAATAGTTGACCTGTAATTACATGTCAATGTCAGACCGTACAGTCATGCTTTGTTGATTTTTATTACTTTACCCGCAATCAACAAATCATAAAATCCTCCGAGATGGAAGTAATTCCTTGGAGTATTTTGGGAGAGAAATCTGTGTTTCACAGTGTGACACTGTGTAACACCAAAATCAGTGTTAGGAGTATGAGAATAAGTCCTCTCTGTGTGTACTGTATAGGCAACCAACATTCAATCAATCACTTTGATATAATAGGGCAACTTTTGTTTCTTGAAAATGGGTAGAAATGTTTATGATAAAAATTACTGAAATATGGTATACACCAAATTTTGAGTTCAGAGATTTCACTTTCTCTGGCCAATTTTTTTTAGCTGATTGACTTAATTGATATACCATGTTAATGAAGTTTGCACGAAACAATCAATTTTGATCTTTGCTGTCAAATATTTTCGATTGTAACCAGGGATCACCACACTTCAGAATTTTAGGGAGAAGTGAAGACCCAACAGGGAGACAAGGAGAAATAAGGGATCAGAATAATGTTTTTTATACATTAGTTTTCCAATCATCTTTACCTTCTTGTTATCTATAAGAGCTTTTGCAAGATGTGGTTTGATTGATTGATTGATTGGTGTTTAACGCCACTTTCAACACTATTGTGCTATTTCGTTGCGGTCAGTTTTTATTAGTGGAGGAAGCCGGAGTGCCAGGAGAGAACCACCGACCTTCGGTAGGAAAACTGACAATCCTAGTCAATTAAGATTGGAGTCGAGTGCACCTGTCCTGTGTGGGATTCAAACTCATAACCTCCGTGTTGACTGGACATGTGGTTTGAAGGAATGAATGAAAGAATTAGAAATCAATACATTGATCAAATTTTAATGAATCTCTGAGAAAGTTTTTTTCAAACGAAATTGTGTTTAGATTTACCCTCTTTGTTCTAAATAACATTTAATAAAACAAAAAGCCAAGGACCCTCCCCCCCCCCAAAAAAAAAATAGAAGTTATTAAATAAAGTATAAAATATCTGGTTCACACACTTTCATTGCCAAGATTTTATTTTATTAATTATATTTATTCTTTAGATTAATTTAAGTGTCTCAAATGTTTGTAAAGTCTATTGCATTGATATAATATATAAATAACTTGATTCAATGTAAACAGGGATTTCCCCATATTTTCCCACAAAAATAACAGGAAGTTTTAATTAAACATAAATGAATAGACATGGACAAGTGCTCATGGACATATATGTGTTTGCAAGAAAACTTCTTTATTTTAACATTTGGAAATAGATATTCAGTTTTAAGGTATAGTCAAGCATTTATAAATAACTATAGAAAAGATTGCAGTGCATTTAAATAGACCTGAATTTTCAACTTGAAGAAAGTAGGTCATACATGTATGTGTTAGATGTATGATCCCTTGAAATTGTCTACTGGAATAAACAATGACATGCAACAGAAAAATGTACATGTATTATGCAATAAATATTTCATAATAAGGGATCCTTTTTAAGTTTAAAAGTCATGGTTTCATGTACATGATGAAGTAACATGTTTATTTGTCAAATTGGAATCGTGTATATAATAGAAAAACAAAGGATATGGGGTATCCATCCCTGACACAAAATCAGTACATGCACAGCAAAAAACACACAATAAGCAAAGGAACAGAGCTTTTATTGCTGTTCTTCATCTCAAAGTCACAGTGAGGCCTTTAACACGGAGCATAAAAAAAACTCTAACCTCACTGCAAGTTTAAGACAGCCCCTAGCACCGGCTTGAATGGAATTCTTTGCAAAAATAAATTTGGATAGACTTTGTAAGTTGTAACACCACCTAATCAGGCCCAGTCAAAAATGTTATGAAGGGAAACATTTAACATGGATAGGAATGAGGACCAAGAATAGGTGGTGTGCGTCTTATTAAAATTTTAGTACACAAACTGGCCTAAAATTGACAGAATGATGTGGCACACATAAAAGAAGTTATCTCAAGAATAAATACACCATAACTTTAAAGATACAGAAGAGCATACATATCAAGCACATGGAAACTTTTTACGGCCTCCACACAGCACGAGAAACAAACTCCGTTAATATAATAGAAAAACAAAAGATATGGGGTATCCATCCATGACACAAAATCAGTACCTGCACAGCAAAAAAACACACACAATAAGCAAATGTATTAGGATCACAAAATTTTTATCAATTATAAGGCAAAATTCAGGATTTTTTTTACATTCAAGGGTGACATAACTCTCTTTGATGCTGCTTATGAGCAGAATTGGGAATCAAAGGACGATTAACTAGTCCTCTTTGCCTGGGGTGGTGAGCCCTGAGGACGATAGAAATACAGGAAATGTTTTATTTTATTGAATTTCATTGGCAGACAAACACAAGATTGGTGTATTGGAAGGAAAAACAAAATAAGTATTATAATTAATATTACATTGTAAATTAAATTATTCTACTGCAAATGATGGATTTTTCTACTCAGGCTTATGATATTAATTATGTATAATTGTTATTCAGGTGGTGGAGGTCTGGCATTATTTGGAACAGGAAGTCTTCACACATGGGCCAGAAGCGTAGAAGAAGTTAGTAAAAGGTTTACAGATAACAGAAAGATAGACAGAAGAAAATTTATGGATGATAGTGCCTATAGGTTATATTCTACTTTTCACATTCTTGTCTTCAAATTTATCCCCTTTTTCCCCCTATAAATAGATATATATTGTGTAACATCTCTCTTTTATGATAAATATAGAGCAAATTTGGCCGAATACGAAAGGTAAATAAGATTATAAAACTACTTGTCTGGACTTTTTTTGTTGTTTCTGTATACTGAAATTCAGAAATAATTGCTATCATTATTGCGATTTTAATAAATGTATTACCAACCAAAATTCTAGATTAATTATTGCGATTGCAGGAAAGGCTGTATATAGATATGTATCAGATATCATGATGCGAGTTATTATTGCGATACTCACCCAGGCACATCATTCGCACTAATAAAAACCGTGGTTTAATTTCTGAACTTACAGTATCATGTATATATTGAGATTATTTTTGCATGATCATTTTTTTATGGTGACTTATTTATGTGGAGTTTGGGCTTTGTTACAGATGACTTACTTTTCACAGAATAATGTTGTTTTTTCACCTTTCAAAAGGAGATTCGAATCTGGGAAAATTTCCAGGATCTTTGAAGGTCCCCATTGTTACCTGGGAGGCTGATATCTTGCAAAAACAATTTCCTTAAATTACCATAAATTATGAAATAAATGCATGCATATATTTTATATGTCATTGTTTAGAAATTACAAAACAGTTAAACTTTTGAAAGCAGCTCAAATAGATATTGAAATATTTCAGTAAAACAAAATGTCAAAATATAAACAATGTTATTTTAATCCAGACGTCTTTTAGATTTTTTGTGTCATTAAATTATTGACATTACTTCGTATTTAGATACATTTTTGGTATAAATAAAAACTTGACTTTAATTTTACAAAATACCATTAGTTAGTTTTGTGCCAAGGTCATCGCTATTTGGTAGAGGGAGCTTCTTTCATTTCATACGGCATTGCTATCATTTCATCATTACTGGAATCATGCCAAGTCAGTGGTATTTACACAGAAGACAGGTGAGTATTACAGCTTTCTGAAAAGCCTGTAGTCTAGCCTTGGATTTCATGGTTCTTCACAGAAATTGAGACCCACTGTAGGGAATATTTTCTGTATATTTTTTAGTTGCAATATTAATAATTCAGTTTTTTCCCCACAAATTTCATGTAGCATCCTTTTAAATATTAAATTTTGAAATATCAAACTTATTTATAGATATCAAAGCATCATACCCAAAACACAATCTGTAAGAATAGAAGATGATGATTTCTGATAGCATTACATTCAAGCAATGAAGAAAATTAATTCTAATAGCATCACATTCAAGGAAATAAGAAAATTAATTCTAATAGCATCACATTCAAGGAAATAAGAAAATTATTTCTGATAGCATCACATTCAAGGAAATAAGAAAATTAGTTCTGATAGCATCGCATTCAAGGAAATGAGAAAATTATTTCTGATAACATCACATTCAAGGAAATAAGGAAATTAGTTCTGATAGCATCACATTCAAGGACAAGGAAATAAGGAAATTAGTTCTGATAATATCACATTGAAGGAAATAAGAAAATTAGTTCTGATAGCATAACATTCAAGGAAATAAGAAAATGAGTTGGGATAACATCACATTCAAGGATATAAAATTATTTCTGATAGTGTCACATTCAAGCAAATAAGAAAATAAGTTCTGATAGCATCACATTCAAACAATATATCATTACTGTACTATGATGCTTAAAGGCGCTGAACTGTTTTTGTTTTTGTTTCTAGAAATTTTATAATCGTCCTGAATATGCATGAAATATTTGCCACTGGATGTAAAGCAAACTGTAATCAATCAATAGAAATTATATCCTCACATCCATAACACAATCTATAAGAAAATGATTTCAGGTAATGGTTTCATCACATTCCAGCAATATATCATCACTGTACTTTGATGCTAAAAGGCCCTGAACTGTTACATATATTATACCAATTTAAGCATTTACTACATACTGTTTCTGGAATTACTTTCATCAGGTATGTTCTACACCAAAAGTTTGGGAACCAAACCAAATAAGAAAAGGGGTAAAAAAATGATAGGGCCTAAACAGAATAGCAAAATTTGTTGAAGATCAATTGTTTGAACTTCTGGAAATGATTGAAACATCAAATTTGCAACAATTTAAATTATGAAACAGTACCACAAATTAGAAATGATACTGAAGTAAAAATATTTCTCTAACTCTTCCCCTATATCTGTTTTTGTAAATGTAATTTTTTTTAGATAAATATAGATTCTACCACTGCATCGAGTGTGATACGATATTTATCCACTCTCCACAATTAAATTTTAAATATTTAAAACGCTCAGCGAGCCTCGCGTTTTAAATTTGAAAATTTAACTGTCTCGAGTGGATAAATATCGTATCACACTCGATGCAGTGGTAGAATCTATATTTATCTACAAAAAATTACATTTACAAAAACAGATATAGGGGAATACTCTTTTCTTAAGAAGTAGTATATGACATTTTCTTTTTGGTTGTTTTCCAGAGAAACTTACTGGGGTAACTATGCCACAGGACTTGGTGCTTCACTTCATGAATTGGGTCACACCTTTGATTTGGCTCACACTCCCACAGGAATCATGGCTAGAGGGTTTGATGACATTCACAGAGTGTTTACAGTTCAGAGGTCAAAAGGCAGCAGGGAAAGTTCAGATAGAAGCAGAGAGCCTAGCAGCAGCAGAGACAGTCTTCCAAAAACAACCACAAATGAGGAAAACAGCAATTCTAGATGTGACTGCCATCCTGAACATAAAAAATCAAAACAAATAAGCTCAGGAAGCTCCAGTGAAGAAAGTATAATGCATACCTCCCATGAAGACAAAGGGAGACAATCCAGCATCAGTCCATCTAGTGCGCCTTGCAAACTTTATTTTAATAGTCCAATAAGAAAGGTGAGATTGAAATTTATAGGAACTTAAAGATGTCAAAAAAGGTAAAAATTAGGGAATGTATTTAATCACAGAAAAAAGTACCAATTTAGCCAACTGTCAAACCAGAAAAAGGTCAATCATGTCTGAAACGGAAATAGAATACAAGTCACACTCAAATATTTGGTATATATATATATATAGAGAGATCATTATAAAATTCACGGAGATTAAATGTGTTATACCAATAGTATTTGGTAATTAGTCTTATACTAAAAAATCGAAAAAAAACATTTTATAAATTTCATGCGTCCCAAGCGCTTTTCTGGATTTACCTTCATTTGGGAACCATCAAAGATACAAGATATGTTATAAGGAAATGCAATTTCACTAACAAGCTCCAAACTACTTAAATTATTAATTAGCATAGATTTTTTTTTGAATTTCACTGTAGGATCTACAACGGTATGACAGTAAGAATAAATTCGTGCTTTAAAAGAATTGAAGAACAGTCACTTTTTTTGCAGTCGGTAAAAGTGTCTTAATTACTGTCAACAGGAATTCTTTAGGTGCATAAAAATGTATGGCAGTTATTGACACCTCATGATATTTTTCTGTGAGGGTAATGGGGTGGAAGCAAATAAAATTCTGTTACAAATAAAAAAGTGGTGGGTTTTTAAAAAAAATTAAATGGAGAATGTGTCCATGGGACACAAATGATGCCCCCCTTGCATATAACGGGGCATAACTTGAGAAGGGTAAAAGTGACGCCCCCACATTCGAACTTGATCTGTGTTTTGTGATGATAAGCATTGTGTATTAGTTTCATAACATTTGGTTGAGGCAAACTAAAGTTAGAGAACAGAAACCAATTTTGGGACAGACATAGTGACTGACAGACAAGGGTAACACTTAATGCCCCCTTAACCTTCACCTTACATTTTTTTCTTGAATGGCCCTAATGTGTATGATTGAAACAAGGATGTCTGTTTTTTTACAATAGAAAATATAAAGTGTCAATTTTGTGCATCAGATATAGTTTTCACATCTTCAATAAATTTTTTCAGCCTTCCTCCATTGGCAGCAGTAGTGTATCACCTCAACCTTTAGTTGTCAAACTAGAAACAGGGTTTAAGTCCAAAAAATCACCTTCATCAATGACAATTAGTATTAAGAACTATGATGGAACAGAGAAACATCAGATGTTACGTCATGAAGATGGATTTGAAGTTGTGACAGAACTGCTCCTTAGCCAGGAAGGGAAGCTACTAAACAAAACTTGTAGACGAGGTACGTTGAAAGAGAATCCTTTAAACTGCTGTGGATGCTGTGGATCTATTATTATTCATTGGGTACCAATATCCATGGATTTCATGGATATAGGTGAACCATAAATTTATTTATTATACTTCACGTAAAAATGCTTATACGAGGGTGTTAATTTACTCTATTCTATGGTAAATACTCTATTACCCTTCACAGAGACGCTTGATCAAGTGTGCGCTTTATTAAATACGACTCTATCCTATGGCAAATACTCTATTACCCTTCACGGAGACGCTTGATCAAGTGTGCGCTTTATTAAATACGACTCTATCCTATGGCAAATACTCTATTACCCTTTACCATGTTTACAGAGACGCTTGATCAAGTGTGCGCTTTATTAAATACGGATTGTTGTTATGTACAAGACGTCATAGTTTATTACTTTGAATTTGAAATTTAATCGACAGTAATAACAGAACATACAGTATAATAAATTGAATAACACATATCTGAGAGGGTGATAGAGCAGATTGTTACCCCTCGAAAAGACATTGTCAACCTTGGCTTCACCTCAGTTGACAATGTTTTCTCGGGGTAACAATCTGCTCTATCACCCTCTCAGCTATGTGTTATTTATATAATGTTCAACGGAGCATAAAATTAGCTATAATATAAATAAGAAGATGTGGTATGAGTGCCAATGAGACAACTCTCCATCCAAGTCACAATGTATCAAAAGTTAACAATTATAGGTCAAAGTACGGCCTTCAACACAGAGCCTTGGCTCACACCGAACAGCAAGCTATAAAGGGCCCCAAAATGACTAGTGTAAAACAATTCAAACAGGAAAACCAACGGTCTAATCTATATAAAAAACGAGAAACGAGAAACACCTATGAACAACACCAACAAACGACAACCACTGAACAACAGCTTGTATGCAGAGTTTGGCTTAAATATGAAATCAGCTACTGTAAATTCAGAAATTAATACATGCATTTATCATTGAAAATCACTGATTACTGGTAAAATGTGAGCTCTAATAAATGCATTTAAAAATTTGTGGGGAAAGTTACTACTGAAATTATGAATGCAAGTTTTTATTAATGCAAATTTGTCAGTGATGCATTTTTTGCATTAATAAAATCATGGCAATAATTTCTGAATTCAAATTAGCCACAGAAAACAAAAATATTCCTTTATTCACGAAAAACTGGTATCCACGAAAATAAATGAAATCTTATGCAATGGTAATTGGATTACAGAAAGTTTGATATTTGCCTGATTACCCCATGGAGAAACTAGAACCAGACATAGAACTATATTTGAAGTTTCTCACATGTTTAACTGGTTCAACTAAAATTTTCAGCAAAATGATATTTTGAGTATGTTAAAACAGATCAAAGTAAAAAGTTAAAGCGCTAGATATGGACATAACTACATTATTTACATATGTGTGAGTGTTAGTGAGTGTGTGTAATTATGTGAAACTTGATAATGCATCCTAAGGCTTTCATAATAAGTAGCAATTTATATCAGTCATGGTTCTTTCAAGTAGTTACATGAAGACTTTGGTTTTTATTCTTGGTGTTTTAACGCCACTTTTAAGCACCGCTTTTGGGCTATTTCGTGGCAGCCAGTTTTTATTGGTGGAGGAAGCCAGAGTGCATGAAGAAAACCACCAACCTTCGATAGGAAAACTGACAATCCTAGTCAATTAAGGTTGGAGTCGAGTGCACCCGCACGAGCGGGGTTTGAACTCACAACCTCAGTGTTGACTGGCTAGTAATTACAGTAGTAACTACTTAGACCACTCGGCCACCAAGGCCCCTAGTTACTTGAAGAAAAATTAAAGTTAGATTTTTATGCTTTGAAATATTAGATAGATATGTATCAAAACAGAGTAGTTTATCGTGTAGATGTGTTTCATTCCTAGGGTGCTTTATCTTATCAAATTATTTTAAAATCACATTGCCTGCTTGAATTGGTTGACTATTACTTAATACCTGTTTTGAATTATCAACCAATCAAATATAATCTATGTAATAATGGTAAGAACGTATGAATAATGAATGATTATTTACAAAACAACACCCTTTGTACTGTCGATTCATTCTTATTCATGGGATACCAATTTTTTCTTGGATTTAAAGGATTATAATTTAAATGGTTAACAAAGTATGTTTTCTTAAGACTTGTAATTAGACTTTAGCAATCCCATGAAATCAAATATCCACAAAAATATAATTTTCCCGTAATCCACGAAAGTTGGTACCCACAAAAATAAATGAATACACAGTAACTAGACGACATTGCAGTGTATTTTAATGTACACAAATTTATTTTTAGAAAGAACAAGTTCCTGCTCCTCCACCAGTTCTACCTCAGCGCCTCAGTCACCTGTTCGTTTGCCTTCACGGTCTACTTCACAGTCACCAATGACAACAGTGCCAGCCATGTTACCTAACTCTCCAGAGGAACCAATCAGAATTCCAGATATTATGTACCAAGATGGTGGAGCCCATTGGTATAGGTCATCTGCTGTACTTTTACATTACCATAAGTAAGTTGGGATAGATTCAGAGGACTGTTAACTCAGAAAAGTTTGCAATGTTTTTATTATTGCAAAAAAAGTGAGCTGATAGGATTGCCAAAAATTTAAAGTTACATTTTAAAATTTTGATTGCATTATGGGTATGGATCATTTCATGAAATCACAATAACTTATCTTGCATTTGTGTAGTTGTTCAGCAATCAAAATTATAAATGCACTCAAAAATTTCCAAATTTACAGCATATTATTGTTTAAGTAATTTGTCAAATAATTAGGGTGTTCCCTGGGTCTATTTTTTTTTTCATTACCCCTAAGACCAAACAATATTTTTTTTCACTATTTCAACTTATTTTTTCAAACAAAGTCAATTCCAATTTGCAGTATGTGTCATCTCATGTACAACTTGGATCTATTTTGTCATTAATATTAAGTCCCAGTGTACTTTAATCCTGCATCTCTTTATTATATTATAAATGAACACTAAATCAAAATGGAATTCTGGAGTTCCAAAAACTATATGTTTATCCAAAACATCAGCAAGTCTGGACAGAATTGTTTTGTTTCCTTGATATGGTTGCTATAAGGGAATATTTGTTTTTAATGTACCACTTACGATAGTATGATTCTTTCATATGTATGTATGCCTGAACCTCAGTCTATTTGCCAGGTTAAGTTTTCATTTAAATGCCGCTTACCTTAAAGTGATAGTCACATCCACATGAGACTTGATTTCTTGCCAAATTGAACATGTGAAATTGTTATCAGTTATATTCTATAGAATTCCTGCCAATTGATAAACATGTTCATTATGATGTGAACTTTTTAAATATATGCCAAATCAGGATTTTGACACTGATTTTTGAGTTCACTGGATATGGAAAACAGTATTAATGCGAGCAGAATATGATGTCTGGGAGATGCATATTTTTGTTATGCCCAACCTAGGGGCATTATGTTTTTTGGTCTGTGGCTGTGCATCTGTTCGTTCTTCCGTTCGTCCGTCTGTTCGTCCTTCCGTTCGTCTGTCTGTCCCGCTTCAGGTTAAAGTTTTTGGTCAAGGTAGTTTTTGATGAAGTTGCAGTCCAATCAACTTGAAACTTAGTACACATGTTCTCTATGATATAATCTTTCTAACTTGAATGCCAAATTAGAGTTTTTACCCCAATTTCACGGTCCACTGAACATATAAAATGATAGTGGGAGTGGGGCATCAGTGTACTATGGACACATTCTTGTTTTTAATATTTTTATCAACTTATATATTTCTCAAGCAAACGTGAGAAATTATAAGACTAGTTTATCATAAAATGTGCAAAAAAATCTGGTTTTATTGTTATTAATATTTACAAAATTCTTTAAAAAAGTGAAATATCAAATTGATATATTAGTTATCTGAAAATGTTGTTACAAGGAAACGATTCAATCAAAACTGGAAGTATGAAAAAACCTCTAATGTTTTTTTTGCATACAAATATACATGTTCATTGAAAACATATCAATTTTATTTAACAGATGGTTTAATCAGAATAGTCAATGCAATCAGAAATATTTACCGTCTGTCTCAGGGTGAGTGTCAAAAAGTCAATGCAATCAGAAATATTTACTGTCTGCCTCAGGGTGAGTGTCAAACAGTCAATGCAATCAGAAATATTTATTGTCTGTCTCAGGGTGAGTGTCAAAAAGTCAATGCAATCAGAAATATTTACTGTCTGTCTCAGGGTGAGTGTCAAAAAGTCAATGCAATCAGAAATATTTACCGTGTCTTGGGATGAGTGTCAAAAAGTCAATGCAATCAGAAATATTTACCATCTGTCTCGGGGTGAGTGTCAAACAGTCAATGCAATCAGAAATATTTACCGTCTGTCTCAGGGTGAGTGTCAAAAAGTCAATGCAATCAGAAATATTTACCGTGTCTTGGGGTGAGTGTCAAAAAGTCAATGCAATCAGAAATATTTACCGTCTGTCTCGTGGTGAGTGTCAAAATGTCAATGCAATCAGAAATATTTACCGTCTGTCTCAGGGTGAGTGTCAAAAAGTCAATGCAATCAGAAATATTTACCGTCTTTCTCAGGGTGAGTGTCAAAAAGTCAATGCAATCAGAAATATTTACCGTCTGTCTCAGGGTGAGTGTCAAAAAGTCAATGCAATCAGAAATATTTACTGTCTGTCTCAGGGTGAGTGTCAAAAAGTCAATGCAATCAGAAATATTTACCATCTGTCTTAGGGTGAGTGTCAAAAAGTCAATGCAATCAGAAATATTTACTGTCTTTCTCAGGATGAGTGTCAAAAAGTCAATGCAATCAGAAATATTTACCGTCTGTCTCAGGGTGAGTGTCAAAAAGTCAATGCAATCAGAAATATTTACTGTCTGTCTCAGGGTGAGTGTCAAAAAGTCAATGCAATCAGAAATATTTACCATCTGTCTCAGGGTGAGTGTCAAATTAGTCAATGCAATCAGAAATATTTACCGTCTGTCTCAGGGTGAGTGTCAAAAAGTCAATGCAATCAGAAATATTTACTGTCCGTCTCAGGGTGAGTGTCAAAAAGTCAATGCAATCAGAAATATTTACCATCTGTCTCAGGGTGAGTGTCAAATTAGTCAATGCAATCAGAAATATTTACTGTCTGTCTCAGGGTGAGTGTCAAAAAGTCAATGCAATCAGAAATATTTACTGTTTGTCTCAGGGTGAGTGTCAAAAAGTCAATGCAGTCAGAAATATTTACTGTCTGTCTCAGGGTGAGTGTCAAAAAATCAATGCAATCAGAAATAATTACCGTGTCTTGGAGTGAGTGTCAAAAAGTCAATGCAATCAGAAATATTTACCGTCTGTCTCAGGGTGAGTGTCAAACAGTCAATGCAATCAGAAATATTTACCTTCTGTCTCGTGGTGAGTGTCAAAAAGTCAATGCAATCAGAAATATTTACCGTCTGTCTCAGTGTGAGTGTCAAAAAGTCAATGCAATCAGAAATATTTACCATCTGTCTCAAGGTGAGTGTCAAAAAGTCAATGCAATCAGAAATATTTACCGTGTCTTGGGGTGAGTGTCAAAAAGTTAATGCAATCAGAAATATTTACCGCCTGTCTCAGGGTGAGTGTCAAAAAGTCAATGCAATCAGAAATATTTACTGTCTGTCTCAGGGTGAGTGTCAAAAAGTCAATGCAATCAGAAATATTTACTGTCTGTCTCAGGGTGATTGTCAAAAAGTCAATGCAATCAGAAATATTTACCGTCTGTCTCAGGATGAGTGTCAAAAAGTCAAAGCAATTAGAAATATTTACCGTCTGTCTCGTGGTGAGTGTCAAAAAGTCAATGCAATCAGAAATATTTACCGTCTGTCTCAGGGTGAGTGTCAAAAAGTCAATGCAATCAGAAATATTTACCGTCTGTCTCAGGGTGAGTGTCAAAAAGTCAATGCAATCAGAAATATTTACCGTCTTTCTCAGGGTGAGTGTCAAAAAGTCAATGCAATCAGAAATATTTACCGTCTGTCTCAGGGTGAGTGTCAAAAAGTCAATGCAATCAGAAATATTTACTGTCTGTCTCAGGGTGAGTGTCAAAAAGTCAATGCAATCAGAAATATTTACCATCTGTCTTAGGGTGAGTGTCAAAAAGTCAATGCAATCAGAAATATTTACTGTCTTTCTCAGGATGAGTGTCAAAAAGTCAATGCAATCAGAAATATTTACCGTCTGTCTCAGGGTGAGTGTCAAAAAGTCAATGCAATCAGAAATATTTACTGTCTGTCTCAGGGTGAGTGTCAAAAAGTCAATGCAATCAGAAATATTTACCATCTGTCTCAGGGTGAGTGTCAAATTAGTCAATGCAATTAGAAATATTTACCGTCTGTCTCAGGGTGAGTGTCAAAAAGTCAATGCAATCAGAAATATTTACTGTCCGTCTCAGGGTGAGTGTCAAAAAGTCAATGCAATCAGAAATATTTACCATCTGTCTCAGGGTGAGTGTCAAATTAGTCAATGCAATCAGAAATATTTACTGTCTGTCTCAGGGTGAGTGTCAAAAAGTCAATGCAATCAGAAATATTTACTGTTTGTCTCAGGGTGAGTGTCAAAAAGTCAATGCAGTCAGAAATATTTACTGTCTGTCTCAGGGTGAGTGTCAAAAAATCAATGCAATCAGAAATAATTACCGTGTCTTGGAGTGAGTGTCAAAAAGTCAATGCAATCAGAAATATTTACCGTCTGTCTCAGGGTGAGTGTCAAACAGTCAATGCAATCAGAAATATTTACCTTCTGTCTCGTGGTGAGTGTCAAAAAGTCAATGCAATCAGAAATATTTACCGTCTGTCTCAGTGTGAGTGTCAAAAAGTCAATGCAATCAGAAATATTTACCATCTGTCTCAAGGTGAGTGTCAAAAAGTCAATGCAATCAGAAATATTTACCGTGTCTTGGGGTGAGTGTCAAAAAGTTAATGCAATCAGAAATATTTACCGCCTGTCTCAGGGTGAGTGTCAAAAAGTCAATGCAATCAGAAATATTTACTGTCTGTCTCAGGGTGAGTGTCAAAAAGTCAATGCAATCAGAAATATTTACTGTCTGTCTCAGGGTGATTGTCAAAAAGTCAATGCAATCAGAAATATTTACCGTCTGTCTCAGGATGAGTGTCAAAAAGTCAAAGCAATTAGAAATATTTACAGTCTGTCTCGTGGTGAGTGTCAAAAAGTCAATGCAATCAGAAATATTTACCGTCTGTCTCAGGGTGAGTGTCAAAAAGTCAATGCAATCAGAAATATTTACCGTCTGTCTCGTGGTGAGTGTCAAACAGTCAATGCAATCAGAAATATTTACCGTCTGTCTCAGGGTGAGTGTCAAAAAGTCAATGCAATCAGAAATATTTACTGTCTGTCTCAGGGTGAGTGTCAAAAAGTCAATGCAATCAGAAATATTTACTGTCTGTCTCAGGGTGAGTGTCAAAAAGTCAATGCAATCAGAAATATTTACCGTCTTTCTCAGGGTGAGTGTCAAAAAGTCAATGCAATCAGAAATATTTACCATCTGTTTCAGGGTGAGTGTCAAATTAGTCAATGCAATCAGAAATATTTACCGTCTGTCTCAGGGTGAGTGTCAAAAAGTCAATGTAATCAGAAATATTTACCGTCTGTCTCGGGGTGAGTGTTAAAAAGTCAATGTAATCAGAAATATTTACCGTCTGTCTCAGGGTGAGTGTCAAAAAGTCAATGCAATCAGAAATATTTACCGTCTGTCTCAGGGTGAGTGTTAAAAAGTCAATGCAATCAGAAATATTTACTGTCTGTCTCAGGGTAAATGTTGAAATCAGATTCACATTGAGGAGTTCTTTTAAGAGACGGCTTATGAACTTTTGTAAGCAGATGCATAAATGCATGACAAGGATAAACATTTACATTTATATTATTTTTGAAAATGTTCACTGTTTTCTTAAAGACAATAAGATGAAATTTAGGTATCTTGTTCTAGTGATGGAAAATTTAAATTAAAACTACAAAATTTCTTATTCATAAAAATATGGCCTTATGAAGCAATTATTGCATTAAATATTCTGTTTCTATGGGGAAAATGAATGTTCAGATCGTTCTCTTTCTTGCAGGAGTAAAATTAAAGCACCATGTGGTCTTCGCCTAGTGGAGCTGAGAAAAGATCCAGAAGGGGTGGTGTTCCATCATTGGGAGTTCATTCATGATCCACCTCCAATGACTTTCACTTTGAAACTGTCCCGTATTCATAACATGCCATCTAGTGCCATTACTATTGTTGTTTTGATTGAGGACAGCAGGGGAAATATACTGAAAAGGAAAATGAAAGTAGAAGACCTTGAACCATAATCAGAAAGTTGTCTAAACTTATTCCTACCTGGAAGGTGGTAAAATATGTTTATCACATAATTTTAGAAATGTTCAAACTAATTTAACTTTTGACAGGGTATACATGTATTCATATTTTATGGTACTTAATTGTTGTTTTATAGGAAGGAGACTATGAAAATTATTACTTTTTATTTTTTATCCCATTTCAAAGTATTTTAAAATGAAATTGAATTAAGATTTTTTTTTAATTTTCTGTTCTATTTCCATGAAACAAACTGAAACTAATGTTAATTTTGAAATTAGAATATACCGAATATACCTGCCTTTGAATTTTATAAACTTTAAGTTTTAATAATAAGAGACAACAAATATTAATACATTGAAAGCAACTACATTATTAATTGATATTAATTTTTGATAATTTATTAATTTTGATATTAAGTAATTGCATATTAGCCTTAATTGAAAAGTTATATGGAATATATTAGATTCACTCTTTCATATGAATCTCAATGTTTTTAATTATTTATTTAATGGTGACTTCCTTTATAGAAAAGAGGCAGCTTCGGGAAGAATTTATTTATTTTTAAAAATACCCGCCACAAAACAATGAAGAAGTCTACATCTTTACTTTAATAGTTGGCTTTCATAGAAAATAGTAAAGTCACATTTTAAAATTTCAAATTTGAAGGCAGTCATGACGGTACACATTATGTGATTCTATTGAAAATAACCCTTCAGTTGAGTGAATCACAATGAAACAGGGTGATTTCTGGTGATTTAAAATGATAACTCTGCTTTATGACCTTTACGTTTATTATCTGTGAAAACAAAGAAATATTTTAGAGTGAATCAACACCTGCAATCACCAGCATTCACTTAGAAATATCACTGCACCAGTGGATTATACCAGAATCATCTTGTGTGTACTGTATGTGTGCAAATAATAAATTTTGACACCTTAGTTGTTATTTGATAACCTCTGCGCTGAAATTACTTGTTGATTATGTGAATATTGTCCTCGTATCTTAAAGAGCATTGATGACTAGATGTACCATGAATGGCGATATTATAGATTTATAGTTTACTTTTGTTTTTATATTTATTAACTGGGTCAATTGTTTTATATATATTAACTGGGTCAATTGTTTTATATATATTAACTGGGTATATTTATGTTTTTCTAATGTATTACCTCTCTTGTTGATCATTTGTGAAGATTTTTGGAAGAAAAGTTTCAAATTTTAATCCACTTATAAGTGACAGGAATGTATAATGATGGTTGTTAGTCCATAGTTTATCCACATTTTTTCCTGAAAGATTGACAGAATCTTCAGTACCTAGTGGCATTATGAACACAATGTTTCATTTTTATTCAAATATTTTTCACATTTTCCATACCAAAACTTTGGACTATGCCATATATATATCATTAAGCAGTAATGATTGTTTAATTGCTTTGAATTAGTTTTGACATATCGTTGGTGGATATTTTGCTGTATATGCCATATATGGGTTGAATTTAAACTTTGCTTATATTTTATATTTATTTTTGGCATTTTATAATGGTTTTCACATTTTAAAAGTTTTATACTGTTGATTTTTGCTAAGCTTTGGTAAATTAATGGAAGGCCTTAATCAGTCCCTTTTCTATAAACCAGGTATTGTATTTTAGAATTTGTTTCATCATCATGAAATTTGATCTCATAGGGTAATTTATTTTTATACTTCATCTATTTTTGTTATAAGCTGATCTCAAAAATGGCTTTCAGTTTCAAATAGCATTTAAATTCTAAACCAATTACTCCATGTTTGAAAATACCATTGAAATTTTATTTATAGACAAAGTTAATGAACTAGATTTTACTTTATGACCCCTTTTTTGTGTACAATTTATAACAATTTTTTTTGTCTGTAGTTTACTCTTTTTCAGACAATGCCAAATTGAGCTTTTAAAAAATATTTTAATTAGTCTGGCAGAAGAAGACATTTAGCATTCTTATTTTTATAAAATATACCATTTATACTGTAAAATGGGACTTTTTCCAACAGGATTATTTTTGCTAATTTTGCAATCAAGTAAAAAGTACAAAAATATCCCCTTGACATAAATTTACTGTATCAGAAAAATCAGAGACAGGAACAAGAAAAACATGAAAATAAAACCACACTAACATGTTTTGCATTAAAAATTGTAAATTTTAAACTAAAAATTAACCCTTTACAGTGTATTAACCCTATTGCCTTAATTTCATCACCTTATGATAATTAGATATTGTGTTATTTGCATAGCCTTGTATACATGTGCCATATTCATAATACAGCAAACCGACACAAAGATAAACAACCTTGAAAGAAATTTTGCATAGCAAATTTTAGGGTTAATAGTTCAATGCAAGTTCTGATGTAACTTTCATAGATTAAAAGGATAAGGTTAAGAGTTTTTTTAATGGAAATATATTTTATATCCTTAGTAAAAATAATTCTTAGATAAACAATGTCTTGTTCTCTGACTCTCAATAGTTTAGAAATTACACTTACTTAAGAAAAAGTCTTTCTAAATTACTGTCATGATGAAATGACAAATTAAAAAAAATATTTCAAATGATTGAAATATATCTAACAGTATGGCCCTTTATATAGAAGAGCAATAACAGAGGATGCGTGTTAAGTTGACATTACTTTTCTAAGTCATATTTCGATTTCGATGACCTGAAATTTGATAAAGATCATTTAAAACAAAACAGGTTGTTTCATTTGGTAATGTGTGTGTGTACAGGGGTGGCTGTATTTCTAATAAAAGAACTGAAGTTTTACATGTCTTTGCAATACATACCCCTGAATATCATTTTTAAAAACTTAAGTACTATAACCACCATAGAAAAGTAATTTAAGGAGGTAGACCTGGGTTGAGGAACAAAATTCTTAAAAAGAATATATTCTAAGATTGTAAGTTACACAGATTATTTTTATTCTGTTTCACATTAATGCTTAAAAAAGCATTGATGGAATTAATTTAACAAACACATTACTGATTAAGGAGTGATCTATCTAAACCCAGGTCTGCATCCTAAAAGAATGGGATAAATGATTATTTGCACAGCAGAGGCTTTAATAAATGATTACTTTCACTATGAATAATTTGTAGGTTTGAACGTGCATCTCTTTAGTTTGAACAAAATAATGACAAGCTTACAGCACCCTTTTTTCAGCAAAATTGGAGATTGAACAAAAAAATCCTATACCTCACTCTAGAATTTGTATAAGTGCCAATTTAAATACCAAAGTGAATGTGTTATTTTAAATAACAGACTTTTTTCAATCATTTCTGGCGGTTTGTATTACCTTTCAAGAAATGATTGATAATACTTAAATCATATTGCTTTCAGGTAAATTCAATCTTCTATTTCCAGCAGATAGAATTTTTTTATAAATTTCGCCAAAGTATATTTTAAGAATATTTTTTTTAAAAGTAAATTAAGAAATATGTTATTATCTTTTTTTATATATATATTGATTTTTGAAGACTCACAGTTATGTGAAACCAAGACAGGAAAATTTTAAATGTTTTTTTTAAAAATAAGATAAAGGGACAATGAGATTTCCGCTTTCGCTTTTTTATGCATATACAAAATTGGTTAATCCAAGACATGATTTTAGTTTTTTTGTGAAGAAAACTATAGTTCTGAGTGCCTTCTATAAGAAAATCGCTAATTTATTAATCTAAAATTCAGAAATTATTTAGAAACAAAGGTTCCAACTCCCTCAGTCAAAGTTAGAAGAAATTGTATGTTCTTATTAAGCACCTTTTGGTCATATATCTCTTAATGTTTTTATGTTTTTATACAATTCTACCAATGAACTGTTTTGGTTTGAGTTTTCCTGATGATGGTACCTTTAAATCCAGAAAAGTGCTACAGATGCACAAAATTTATTAGTGCTATTTTCATCTACAGTATCAAGACAAGAAAATTATTAACTTTTTTAAATCAAAATCTTGCTGATTTGATAAAAAAATATCTGTTCCCAGCCTTTGAAACATTCAAGTTCATATATGTCCAATGTATCAGTGTATATCTTTATTAGACTGAATTACCAATATATTACAGAGGCAGATTTTGTAAGGGGGTGTCCCCCCTAAATGGAGCTTCATATATGATAAATGCATTGAATTTTTACAAGTATTACTCCAAACATTGGTTTTCCAGGGGCCTCTCTTTTTTTCAAAATCCTGGATCGGACCTGTATTATAAAATGAAAAGTGCCATGTTATATATTATACTCCTAGATCTCGTATAAATAGATATATTTTTCATTCCATATCGTGTATTAAATGTGATATATATTTTAGCTCAGATTGTTATTGTAATTTTGTTTATTGTTTTAGAAATAATTTTGTTGGGGTATATATTTGTATCTATAGTTAATTTGTAATATAACTAAAGTTTAGTCTTAATTAAATCTTCGGCATATTTTTGTGTATGGTAATAAGATATTTACCTTCGTAAATTGATTTGTTTTTTATGCAATTTTCAGTTGTTTGTGAATTTTAGACAGAATACGTTATTGTTAAAAAAAGTCTTGATGGTGTAAGTTATTAGTTGTAAAATAGAGTAATTACAGATGACATAATATTATTACTCTTAAATTTAAAACAGTTTTTGTTTATTTCTGTTGAATATTTAAATATGAGGAGAGGCATCAGAATGAGTCACCCAAATTGCCAGAATTAAATGAAACTTCACCAGCAAAAGTGAATTTTATAATTAAAACACTGTTTTTATGTTGAGTGTTGATACCAAGTAATCCCTTTTAAATCTATATTATTAATAATCATAATTAAATATTTTTATTTTTCAAAAATAGAACAGGCATACATTTCTTTCCACTTGTGTTCACTCTGTGGTGCTATTTAAAAAAAAGAAAATCTTTACAAATGTGGAATAAAGATTAAAGTTTAGTCAAAACTTTATCAGATTTTTTATATGTATAGTTTTCTGAAATATTTCGTTTTGATTAAGTTGAAAATCATAGGGCAGTAATGGAAAATATGAATACCCTTATAGGTTTTGGAATGAAAGGAAAACACCATTAAATTACAATGTTTGACATTTTTTTACAACTGACCAGTGCATGTTAAATTGTTAAACAGCTTTAACATATGTTAAACTTTGGTACCTTAGCTCAAATAATACAAATATTACAATGAGGGGGCAAATTACATATTTTCACAATAAACAGTCCATATGATATCTTGCAGGTAAAAAAAAAAATATTTTAAGACAACCTCGATATAAATGATTTATATATGTATGCCTTTCATAAAACTAATAGAATATTTCACACATTGTTTCAAGCATTTAGATATTTGATGTATCTACAATATTTTCAAAATCTCTTATATGTTAACTGCAATACCAGTATATAACTTTTTTTTTCTTCAGAATTTTGGGCTTGCAACTTCATGTTTGGTTTGGCCTTCTAACATTTTTTATTGATGAGTCTTATGCAGAGGAAATTGTGTCTGGCATAACAAATTATGTGCCTAGTATCTTTAATTACTATGTTATTTAACATCTATTTAGTTTTTGAAATGGCTGCTTTTAACTGTGTTTAAACTAAAAATGCTCAAATTTGATCTATTAAGGTGGTACATAACACTACAGGGAGATAACTCTGTAAAAATCAGCTGATCCTTTTAATCACGTTCTATTGTTAAGGAAATATTCAGCTTCTTAACGATCAAAATTGGTGTTTGTCAAACTGCTATATATCCAATGAAATTTTTTCGATAAAGTGTGTGGTTCAAGTTTTTTGAAATTTTTATATTTTTGTCAAAGGGTCAAAGTAAATATTTTGTCAAAATTTTATGAAAATTAAAATTAATTTTAGTCAAGGTGTTTGGTACCACCTTAAAGCTTAAGTCGCTAGAACCTAACCATTTTCAAATTGAACTGACCAAAGAATTAGTGAAGACCTTTATTAGTTTTGGTGTAATATATCATGTACATGTAGTTTGTCTATTTATAAATATAAATGTTAAATCAGGTATTATATAACAATTATTGATGATATTATATAATGAGTTCGTCTATATATTTATTTGTGGACTAAATTGTGTTAAAATACACAAGCTTTGTTTATATTAGTTAAGTTAAAATCTCTATTTTTTATATCTGGACTAATTTTGATCAAATTTGTCTTTTGTGATCATTCATTTCTAAATATTTGAAGTTAATCAGTTATAGAATATATGAAATGTAACAGTTTCAGCTTTAAACTTAATAATATGTTGATTCTGGGTGCAGACATTTTGACATATAAAAGGAGTATTTGATCCAATAATAAGAACATTTTTAAAAAATGTTATACAGACAGCAAGCTCAGACACCTGTCACAGATTTAGAATAATAACGACATTCATGGGAAGTGATAATTGAGCTGCGTCGCATAGAAATCAACCTTTTGCAAATGAATATCAATACATCTTGTTAACCTATTTCGGGTTGAAAAATCTCTATGGAAAGTCTGTAACTGTTTGAAAATTGAGTTGTTACAAGAACACTATAAAACAGACCAAAATTCATCTTTTATTTCATTTTTGAATATTCCAAAATCAATTAAAGTCTTATACATGTACATTTATACGTGCACTTGCTAAATTGTCCTGTGATTTATTATAGAAGACATAAATCTGGTCTTTATGTTCATGGTACTTGATTTGTGTGGCATTTTCTTCTTCATTAAGTCCAACTCCCTTAATGTCTATTCTTGTATGAACTTTATATTGATGAAGTTTTTTGTTTTTTTTTATTTAAAGTCATTGTGGATTTAAAATCAGCAGTCTATACATTGAATCATGAAAAATAATCTTCAAGCAACAGTACTTATTATTGCATATATTTTCATTGTATTATCTTCAGGAATCTGAAATCCACACATTTTGATGGCATGTCCATCAAATTTGAAACTGATTGTGCAGCTAGATTGTCACATGACTCGCAAAACATAACACAAGTTTGCCTGCTTGTTCTTTGAACTTGATTTGGTAAAATATTTGTCATCTATGTGAAGTCCAATTTTCTTAATGTCTATTAATTTGTGATTCTCCGAAAAAAAATAAGTGTGAAATATATTTATAATAAGATTAATTGTGGTTTGCATTCCATACAACCAGATTCTGTCAACAATAAACATGGCATACATTTTCATTCTGTTTTCATCTGAATTTTATAGTTTTACATACAAAGAGTGAAGTCCACATCTTTTGATGGCATGTACATCTGATTTGGAAATCTCTGTACAGCTACATTGCCAACTTTTTGTCTTACAAAACAAGACACAAGCCTGTCCAGTACGCTCTTTACACTTGATAATGGTCAAGTGTCCTTGTTCAGTGTGAAGTCAACTTCTTTTACGTCTATGATTTTATGATCCTCTATAAAACAAGAAAGTGTTGAATATATATTTTTGCATATATTTTCATTTTATTTTTTTCTGACTTTATGATTAGTGAATGCTAAGAGTATGAAGTCCATACATTTCAATGGCATGTCCATCTGATCTGAAAGTCATTTTACAGTTAGATTGTCACATATTGTATTACAAAACAAGACACAAGCCTGTTGAGAATGTTCTTTACACTTGACATTGCTAAAGTTTTCTTTTTCAGTGTGAGGTCTAACTTCCTTAATGTCTGTGATTTTATGATGACTAGAATTCAGCTTACAAAACATGACACTAATCTATCCTGCATGTCCTTAACACTTGATTTTGAGAAAGTTTCCTTCTTCAGTGTAAAGTACAACTTCCTTTATATTTATGATTTTGAGATCCTTACAAAAAATCAAGTGTTGAATATATTTATAGTAAGATTTATGGTGGATTGCAGTTAACAGAACAGTACACATTTGCATACATTTTCATTTCATATTTATTCTAACTTTTATGATTTATGAATATAAAAGAGTATGATTCCACACATTTCAATGCCTTGTCCATCTGATATGAAAGTTTGTGTACATCTAGATTGTTATATCTTGCAAAATACGAAAAAGGTCTATCCTGCATGTTCTTAAAACAACATTGCATATTTATTCATTTTATTTTCTTCTGACTTTAATGATTTTGCATACTCAGAGTCTGAATTCCACATATGTTGATGGCATGTCCATCTGATTTGAAAGTCTTTGTACAGCTACATTGCCACATGATTTACAAAACAAGACACAAGCCTGTCCTGAATGTTCTTTACACTTGATATTGGTAAAGTCTCCTTCTTCTGAATGAAGTCTGACTTCTTTTATGTCTATAACTTTGTGATCCTCTGTAAAATGATAAAGCATTGAATATTTATTTTAAATAAGATTTATTGTGGATTGCAGTTAATACAATAAGATTCAGTCAACTGTACATATTCCATACATTTTCATTTATTTTTTTTTCTGACTTTTATAGTTTTACATTCTAAGAGTCTGAAGTCCATACATTTTGATGGCATGTCCATCTGTTATGAAAGTCTTTGTACAGCTACATTGCCACATGATGTGTTACAAAAGAAGACACAAACCTGTCCTGAATGTTCTTTACACTTGATGTTAGTGAAGTATCCTTCTTCAGTGTGAAGCCCAACTTCTTTAATGTCTATGATTTTATGATCCTTAGAACTCAGCTTACAAAACAAAACATAAGCCTGTTGAGAATGTTCTTTACACTTGATATTAGTAAAGTTTCCTTCTTCAGTATGAAGTCCTACATCTTTTATGTTTATGATTTTGTGATCCTCTGTAAAAGAAATAAAGCGTTGAATATATATTTTAAATAAGATTTATTGTGGATTGTAGTCTATACAACAACATTCAGTTAACCTTACACATTGCATACATTTTCATTTTATTTTCTGCTGACTTTGATAGTTTCTATATAAGAGTCTGATGTCCACACATTTTGATGGAATGTCCATCCAATTTTAAAGTCTTAGTATAGCTAGATAGCCACATGATGTCTTACAAAAAAGACACAAGTCTGTTGAGAATGTTCGTCACACTTGATATTGATGAAGTTTCCTTCTTCTGTGTAATGTAAATCTTGTTTTATATCTTTTATTGTGTGATCCTCTGTAAAAAAAAAATTAGGCTTTAAATATATATTTTTAAAAAGAATTATCTGGATTGCAGTCTATACAGTATACGATCAGATTCCGTTAACCTTACAGATTGCATACATTTTCATTTTATATTCTTCTGACTTTATGATTTTTGCATACTAAGAGTCTGAAGTCCATACATTTTGATGAGATGTACATCTGTTATGAAAGCCTTTGTACAGCTACATTGCCATATGATGTTTTACAAAACAAGACATAGGTCTGTTCGATTGTTCTGCACACTTGATTTTGGTAAAGTTTCCTTCTTCAGTATGAAGTCCAACATCTTTTATGTCTATGATTTTTTTATCCTCTGTAAAGTAAAGCGTTGAATATATATTTTAAATAAGATTTATTGTGGATTGCAGTCTATACAATAAGATTCAGTTAATCATTCACATTGCACACATTTTCATTTTGTTTCTTCTGACTTTTATAGTTCTTGCATATAAAGAGTCTTTAAGTCCACACATTTTTTTGGCATGTCCATCTGATTTGAATGTCTTTGTACATCTAGATAGCCACATGATGACTTATAAAATACACTTTAACAAATTGTTTTCACTATATATTTACTTATCTTTCAGTTGTCACATATCAATAAGTCACATTGGTTACATTTCCAGTGGACTTTATTCTGGCTTTGAAATTTTTACAAATTTTAAGTATACTTAATGTACATTAACAAACATATTGTCTCATTTTTTTATCTCCCATGTCCCTAAGACTTCAAGATTTTAGATTCAACAATTTTTCACATTATTTTTACTCTTTTTTTTGTCATTTTAAGAAAGGTCTGAAGTCTATACCTCAGATTTAGCGATTCCTCTGATTTTATGCAATTTCATTTTATTTATTTTGTCTTAATATAAGCTGTTATTGCATACATAGAGTATGTAGTCCATACATCCCTGTTGTATGATCATCTGATTTGGAAGTTATTGCACTATTAAAATATTGTTATTTGTCACAAGTTTTACAGAACATGGAGCAGTTCTGTCTGTCACTTCCTTAGCTATCAAAATTCGTTAAGTTCATTTCAAATCAAACATCCCTGATATTAATTATTTTGAGATCCTTCAAAAAATGAAAATTGAATATAATTTTAATTAGAGAAATTGTGGATTTAGAGTCTGCAGTCTATACACTTCTTGATTAAAACATTTTGCTTTAAGTGCACATAAGAAAGAATGGTCAAATTGCCATTACAAAGAACTAATTCTTTAACAATTTTATTGGTCCCCAGCACTTTTTTTTACAGTTGTCACACATAAGTAAGGCACACTGTATACATTTCCAGTTGATTGTATTCTTTCCTAAATGTTTGTACTCATATTGTATATAAAAAAAGTTTTTATCTGTCATGTCCATTGATGACACTAGCACTTGTTCTTATCAGTTGTCACACATTAATAAGTCACACTGTATACATTTCCAGTGGATTGTATTCTGTCTATACAATTTTTATCTGCCATGTCCCTGGTACTTTAAATTTTTATGCGCTTCTTAAGGATAGGTTAAAGTATATAACATTGAATATTTAGCATGCATAAAATTATCCGTATCTGTTCATCAAATGTTCTTTATTTGCAGTTAGTGCTCATAAAAATGTGTCATCTATATGTTTCAATTTTCAGCGTTTTTTTTTTTTCTTTTTTTAAATTGCACATAACAAAGAACATTTCCATCATCATGTTTTATTGAAATCGAACAGGTATATACATAGACACCTTGATTGTACAGACAGTAAGATTATCTGGAAGGTTCTTATTGCTTGAAGTTTGTCAAATCTTCAGTACAAATCCCCATTTCTATGATATCTATTATATAACAGTTCTTAGAATACACATTTGAATCCTGTTATTTCTGCACAGTTAGTGCACATGAGAATTTCCATTCTTCACACTTCCATTTTATATTTTGTGTTTTTCTTGTTAATTGCACAATAAAAGTTCACAGTTTATGCATTTCCATTTGATTTTTTTGTGTGAAAAATCTTTTCTCTTTCTTTGTTTCTACAGATAGTACACATGAGCATTTCACAATCTTCTCACTTCCATTTTATATATTATGTGTTTTACTTGTTATTTGCACAATAAAAGGTCACAGTTTAAGCACTTCCATTTGATTTTTTCTGTGTGAAAAAATCTTTTCTCTTTCGTTGTCTGTACAGTTAGTACACATGAGAATTTAACAATCTTCACACTTCCATTTAATATTTTGTGTTTACTCATTGAGGGACAATACAAACATTTCTATTAATTTTTTCTGTGTAAGAATTTATTTTTCTTTGTCTGTACAGTTAGTACACATGAGAATTTCAGTCTTCACACTTCCATTAATTATTTTGTGTTTTTCTTGTTAATTGCACAATAAAAGTTCACAATTTAAGCATTTCCATTTGATTTTTCTGTGTGAGAAATTATTTCTCTTTGTCTGTACAGTTAGTACACATGAGAATTTCACATTCTTCGCATTTCCATTTTACATTTTTCCTTTTACAAGTTATGGCACAATCAAAGTTCACACTCAAGACATTTCCACTTATTTTTTTCTGTGTTTGAAATAATTTGGTTCTATTTCTCTACATGAAAATTTTCAGTCATCTCACTTATATTTTATATTTCATGTTTAACAAGTTAAGTCACCGTGATATAGCCTTTTTGTGCTGATGAGGCTATAGGCAATCACCAATCAGTCAATCAATTTAACAAGTTCAGGCACAGGAAAAGTTTGCAATTCCAATATTTCCATTTAGTTTTTCTGTGTTTGAAATAACTTCTATCCTTTTGTCTGTACAGTTATTTCAGATGAGAATGTCACAATCGTCAGGCTTCCATGTTTATATTTTGTGTTTCAAAATAAATGTTCACAATCCAAACAGTTCTTTTTTTCTCTGTGTGATAAACTGCTTCTCTTCCTTTGTCTGTATAGTTTGTACACATGAGAAGTTCAAAGTCTTCACACTTTTATTTTATATTTTGTGTTTTACTAGATACAGCACAATAAAAGTTCGCAATTCAAACATTTCCTTTTGATTTTTTCTTTGTCTGTTCAGTAAGTACACATGAGCATTTCACATTCTTTGCACTTCCATTTCATATTTTGTGGTTTACAGGTTAAGGCACAAATAAAGTTCACAATCCAAATATTTCCATTTAATTTTTTCTGTGTTAGAAATTATTTCCCTTTCTTTATCTGTTCACATGAGAGTTTCACAGTCTGAACACTTCCATTTTATATTTTGTGTTTTTCTTGTTAATTGCACAATAAAAGTTCACAGTTTAAGCACTTCCATTTTTTTCTGTGTGAGAAATTATTTTCTCTTTGTTTGTACAGTTAGTACACTTGAGAAGTTCACAGTCTTCACACTTCCGTTTTATATTTTGTGTTTTACTAGATACGGCACAATAAAAGTTCACAATTCAAACATTTCCATTTGATTTTTTCTTTGTGAAAAACTATTTTATTTCTTTGTCTGTTCAGTTAGTACACATGAACATTTCACATTATTCGCACTTCCATTTCATAATTTGTGGTTTACAGGTTAAGTCACAAATAAAATTCACAATCCAAACATTTCCATTTATTTTTTTCTGTGTAAGAAATTATTTCATTTCTTTGTCTGTTTAGTAGGAACACATGAGAATTTCACATTCTTTACACTTCCATTTCATATTTTGTGTTTACTTATTAAGGCACAAATAAAGTTCACAATCCCAACATTTCCATTTATTGAGTGAGAAATCATTTCTCTCCTTTGTGTGTACAGTTAATACAAATGAGAATTTCACTGTCTTCAAACTTCCATTTGATTTTTCGTTTTATACTTGTTAAGGCACAATAAAAGTTCACAGTCTAAACATTTCCATTTAATTTGTTCTGAGTGAGAAATCATTTCTCTCCTTTGTGTGTACAGTTAGTACACATGAGAATTTCACTGTCTTCACACTTCCATTTTGTATCTCGTGTTTTATTGTTAAGGAACAATAAAAGTTCACAGTCTTTCAAACAGTTCCATTTAATTTGTTCTGTGTGAGAAATTATTTTTCTTTCTGTCTCTCTGCAGTAAGTACACATGATAATTTCACTGTCATTGCACTTCCATCTTATATTTTGTGTTTTTCTAGTTTATTACACAATAAGAAAAAATACGATTTAATATGTTTAAGCATTTTCACTTAATTTTATCTGTGACAGTACTTTTATTTCTTTGTACTTTTGAGTTGATAGTGCACTATAGAATTTCACAGTACTTCCATTTTATAGTTGTGATTGTTTTCCTAGTTGTCACTCAATAAAAGTTCGCAATCCAAACATTTCCACTTGATTTTATCTGTGTGTGCAACTACTTTTTTTTTTTGTACTTTTGAGTTGGTGCACATGTGAATTTCAGAATCATCGCACTTCCATTTTACATTTTGTGTTTTTCCTGTTAACAAAAGTTTTTAAAGAAAACTTCACAATCCAAACATGACAATTTTTTTAAAAAGTCATGAAACCTACTTATTATATGTCAATAAAACTAAGTCGCAAGTAATACCTTCTCTGAAATTATTGCACATTTTAATAAAAACACAATTATAGTTCAAATTCCTCACAATCTCATTTATGTTTTATTATCAAGTTCACATTTTGTACATTTTCATTGAATTAGGTGTTTTTAAAAGTCAGTATCATTAAAACTTCTGACCACTAGTCTCAACACATTCTTTTTCTTTCTGTTAAAGGTGTACATAATTGGGATGATTAAAGTATTTGCAGAACAGAACAGGAGTAAAAAAAATGAAAGATTTCTTAAAACTTTTTTTTTAAAAATACAGCGATTATAATTTAGTAAGTCAAACGTGTGTAACAGAGATGGCAAGTTTGTCAAATGATTTACAACAGAGACAACTCTTTGTGGCTTAGTTTTCAAAAGAGCAGATTTGTTCAACATGTTATTCGCACTTCTTATACCAAAACTTCATCTGTATGATGCCCAATGCCTTAAATTTTGTCTTGAAGTTAGAATTTCTAGAAGGTTTGAAATATATAATATTAACTTTGTCTGCTTATTAAAAGCCTTGCAAGATTTAGTGTACTATTAGATTTTTCAGGACTAACTTGAGATTAAACAGCAGGAAAGTATTGAAAAAAATTACTGATTAAGACATGAAAACTCAATAAAAGATCACAATCTATGCACTTCCAACTGGTCTTTTCTTATAATTTCTTTTAACTGTTAAATTTAGAGTCTAGATATTTCCATTTTATTTTTTAGTTATTGAAAGTTTAATTCAAATTTTATACATGTGTACCATGCTTTATAAAAGTTATAAAAGTGGCAGAAAATACAAAAGGGACAATCAGATATGAAAATTAATTCAGTGGCTTCTCAAGACACCTCTATAAGAGCTTTGCAGTCTATGTATTTTCAAAGTTTTTAGTTTCTGTAAAAATTTAAATCATACCTATTACAATGTATTTAAAGTTTCTCTTAATGGTTTCTCTGTTTATTTAGTTAGTGTACAATAAATAACCACAGTCAATACACTTCCATTTTATAGGTTTTCTTTAAGTGCACATGGAAAGTTTGCATTTTATTTCATTTATTTCTGTCTCAAAATAAAGTGTACCTAAAAATTCCTGTGGGTGTCTTAAAAAGGCCTTTGTGAGTCAGAACATCTGCAGTATATGCATTTTATTCAAGAAGATCACAAGATAAGTCTGCATTTAATTTTTCTTTTTAAATGGTTTTTCTATTTAAGGAGTCTGGCCAAATATTCAGCCAATTAGAGTCATATGAATCTAATATTTAAAAAGATATGTTACTACATAAGAAAAATTGTGCCCCAAGATTTGTCTTAAAAAAACCTTTTTTTTTTTAAATGGGTGTATTCAAAAATAGAAAAACGACTTGCAGATTTTGCATTTAAGTGTAAATTTCCTGGAATAAATTAGAAAAATATATATAACTGATTTTTTGTATGTCGCACATATAAAAAGTTCACAATCAAGGCACTTCCATTTTATGTTTCTTAATTCTGTAATTGGAACCAGAGATACATCTCTGTTGGAACATAATTAAGTTCGAAATCTCAATTTTCAAGTTCAATTGACTCTTTAATCAGTACTTGTTAAAAAATTTCAGTCCACACTTCTCCCTTTATACATTGTCTTTTAAGTTGTTGACAGTAAAAGTTATCAAGGCACTCCAATTTTAAAATATAAATTTTAGAAAGGTTTATGATAGGTGTCTGAGCTAGATTAATGGGAGAGAAAGTATGTCAATTTTTAAAAGACAGCATTTCTGTGTTTCATATATATATATAATTCAACATTTGTATTGCTACAGGAATGAATGTTTGGTTATATTTTATTTACCAAAATGTCTTTAACAATTTCACGCTTTAAACAAAATGACTTGGAATGTTTAGTTTTAAAAAGTATTTTTTATTTTATTTCTTTGTCTGTTCAGTAAGTACACATGAGCATTTAACATTCTTTGCACTTCCATTTCATGTTTTGTGGTTTAAAGGTTAAGGCACAAATAAAGTTCACAATCCAAACATTTCCATTTATTTTTTTCTGTGTAAGAATTATTTCTCTTTCTTTATCTGTACAGTTAGTACACATGAGTTTCACAGTCTGAACACTTCCATTTTATATTTTGTGTTTTTCTTGTTAATTGCACAATAAAAGTTCACAGTTTAAGCACTTCCTTTTTTTTCTGTGTGAGAAATTATTTTCTCTTTGTCTGTACAGTTAGTACACTTGAGAAGTTCACAGTCTTCACACTTTCGTTTTATATTTTGTGTTTTACTAGATACGGCACAATAGAAGTTCACAATTCAAACATTTCCATTTGATTTTTTCTTAATTCTGTAATTGGAACCAGAGATATGTCTCTGTTGGAACATAATTAAGTTCGCAATCTCAATTTTCAAGTTCAATTGACTCTTTAATCAGTACTTGTTAAAAAATTTCAGTCCACACTTCTCCCTTTATACATTGTCTTTTAAGTTGTTGACAGTAAAAGTTATCAAGGCACTCCAATTTTAAAATATAAATTTTAGAAAGGTTTATGATAGGTGTCTGAGCTAGATTAATGGGAGAGAAAGTATGTCAATTTTTAAAAGACAGCATTTCTGTGTTTCATATATATTTCAACATTTTTAATGCTACAGGAATGAATGTTTGGTTATATTTTATTTACCAAAATGTCTTTAGCTATTTCACGCTTTAAACAAAATGACTTGGAATGTTTAGTTTTAAAAAGTATTTTTATTGTTGTCTTGTAAACAGCATGCACTTGTTGAATGAAATAGTACAATATTGCCCTTCAAAGCTTGTGAAACCAAGTCAAATTTGTTTTCTTTTTTTTTAAGTATATTTGTCAGCCACTAAATACATAATCAAGTAATTAAGTTGATTTTAGTTTATATTTCATTCGAAGATGTATGAAATTCACAATAACAACTGACTGATATTATAAAAACTACATTAATAGACTGATCATCTTAAGATTTGATTTCTGTAAATTCAGAAATTTTTGCAATGTTTTTTCCGTTGTCAACATGTCGGACAATAACTCATAAACGCTATAACCAATTTTCATGAGACTTTGGTGAATTGTTTATATCTACTGACGTAAGCTCCCTTTCCACTTACCCAGTATATAAATTTTAGATTTTACATTTCTTATGGGATTTTATTCATAAAAATTTTTCTAGTTTTTGGACAGTAACTCAAAAATTCTTTTAGCAGTTTTCATGAAACTTTTGTGAATGGTTTATATCTATTAGAATAAACTGCTTTTAATTTTTTATGACATTGAGGAGTTCTGGAACTTTATTGTCGAAAAAGCGACAATGAATCATGCGCTCATGGCACAGCTCTTTAATATTATTGAGAAAATTGCAACAGGATAGGTTTTACTAAAATGAAAAATCATATTTAAATTCTGATTGCATTATATGTATGCTGAATTTCTGGAAATCGTAACAATCAATCTCCCATTTTTGCTCAATGTTAATGCGAAAAATTGGGAAAGGATAGGTTGGCAACAATGTAAACATTTGTATTTTAGATTCTGATAGCAATATTTGTAAGCAGAATTTCCGGAAATTGTAATAATCATTATCCCATTTATTTCAATCGTTCAATCATTGTAATAATTATTGTGCGCTGAAATTTCTGAATTTACATGACTGGTACTTATATAACATGTATAAACAATTATAAAAAAAGATGATTACAAGGATGTAGTTCATTCCAGACTTCATTATCTGTAAAGAAAAATGTTTGTCTTCAGTATTATGTTACTGTACCTTTTATCTGTTGAAGAGCAATCATTGAACACATATTTTATATTATGTCAAAAGTCATACCTTAAAAGGTAATTTACTGCTGTGAATTTCTACAAAAATCAGGAGATATATGGGGAAATGATTTTAAGTTTCTTCAGTGATCATGTTTATCTGAAATAGTAAGATATTCGGGGAAATAGCATTTTTTTTGTTTCAGAGTAGTTGAGGCTGATTAAATATAATTTTTGAAATTAATATTATCTTTTTGTTAATGAATAGTTTGGTCCAAATGGCATTATTTGAAATTGGCATTTTTAGTCATGTTATGAATATTTTAGTTAAAGATTTATCAGATTCACACTAAAACATTTAAGATCTTAGTCCCATTTTCATGTAGAAAATGTATTCATAGATTGTATTCGTTATTTTCTGATGATAACCAATTGTTCTTTAAAGAAAATCTCTTGCTTTCCTCATCTAAAGTTTTTTTAATTGGCTTAAGATGCTGAAATTTAATTTAGTTTTTGACTTAAATTATTTATTAATTAAAAAGATTTAAAACATATTCATTATGGGATTTTGTCAGAAGTATTATATAAATATATATATTATATTAGAAATTCCATTTGACTTACTCAAGTGATATTAGGTAAATTATTGCAGCAGAAATATATATATGATATTTTTAATCAGTATCCTTATTTTATGCATATCGTTTGATATTATGTTGTTTGAGTTCATTTTAACTTGTTAATTATTTAATTAGAAAATTAAATGGTTTAAATGTATTTGTTGTTTTATTTTTATAGAGCTAAGGTTGCAGCATATTTAAACACCTCCACGGGCTTTCAAATGTTGAGGATACCGCCTTGGTGATAGCATGTTCGCCTTTAGTGCAGGAGGTTGTGGGTTCGAACCCTGGCCGGATCAAACCAAAAACTTTAAAATTGGTATTTGCTGCTTCTCCGCTAAGTACGCGGCATTAAGGAGCAAAGACTGGTCAGCTCAGTGACAGAATAATGTGTTCGGGTAAGGTATGTCTTCCTGTGGACTGTTACCTTGTGAACTATTATGTTAAAAATCCGGCTCAGCGTATCAGTCTAGTACAGAGCAGGGTTAATATTCATATTACATTAACAAGTTCTCGTCCTGAATATGCATATTAATTTGCTTCTGTACGTTAAGCAGCCATCCACCATCATCATCAATTGTTTAGGTTTGAGCATTCCTGATGAAGGTGGGGCCTCGGTGGCCGAGTGGTCTAAGTAGTTACTACTATAATCACTAGCCAGTTAACACTGAGGTTGTGAGTTCGAACCCCGATCGTGCGGGTGCACTCGACTCCAATCTTAATTGACTAGGATTGTCAGTTTTCCTATCGAAGGTCGTGGTTTTCTCCGGGCACTCCGGCTTCCTCCACCAATAAAAACTGAACGCCACGAAATAGCCCAAAAGCGGTACTTAAAAGAGGCGTTAAAACACCAAAAATCAAATCAAATCATCCTGATGAAGGTTAACCCTAAGAAGGGCTTCAGATGTACAAAATTTATAAAGTGTTATTTATTCAATTTCTTGCTTAAACTTATGATTTTCTATATATGAATAAAAGATTATGGGTATATGTCAATGTAACAGTGACTCAACAACATAAGAACCTATACATTTTTACTTTGGATGAACAAGATAGGTTTAAAACAAGGCATAAACAATTAAAGATGTTGATAAACATCATAAAGTCAGAAACTAGTGGCATAGTAAGCAAACTAAAAATAGACTAGAAGGATCCTGTATTGCTCACCATGCTTATATACATAATATATGGTTCGAGAACTTTTTAAAAGAAAGGCGAAAGATACCAAAGGGACATTCAAATGAATAAGACAAAAATAAACTGACAATGCCATGGCTAAAAAGGAAAAAGACAAACAGATAAACAACAGTATACAAAACACAACATATCATAAAAACCTAAAGACTGAGTAACAGGAACCCCACCAAAAACTGGGGGTGATCTCAGGTGCTCCGGAAGGGTAAGTAGATCCTGCTCCACAAGTGGCACCCATTTTGTTGCTCATGTTAGTACAAACCCAGTAATAAATCTAATTAGGTAGGTCACATTTTAAGTTTACAGTAGTCTGACAGATGAAAGTATTAAATTCCATAAAAAAGAGAACGTGGATTTATTTATGAAGTAAAAGGAAGATCCAGAAATGTGAAAACTCTTTTATTGTTCCTGATTAAGAAACAATTTGGGGAGAAGTTTCTTTACCTGGCCTATCACATCTGGTCTGAGGGCATTCCCTCAAAAATATTTCTGAAAAATATGAACATACTTTTCTCTACTGTTTATGACGTCTTTACGTTAATTCAGTTGAATGTATTATAGTTGATAATTAAGGATGTATTCTTCTGATGTTTCAGTCTCGTTGAAATATCGTTCTGGAATTATTTCCAAAACATGTGATACAAGTGGAAAATATCAATGAATTTAAAAAATAGTATAATCAAACTAAACTATGTGAAAAAATTGTGTACTTACAATAAGTAGTTTTTTTAGTAATGAAATTTTCAATTTTTATAAGCAATCCTGTCAGTGTTATCAAATGATTTTACCAAAAATATGTACATTCCATATCAATTTTTTCTTTTCATAATTCTTTTTTCAATCATTCATAACAAAGAAGTTGATATAATATGCTTTTTATTCTAAAAAAAGAGAGAAATCCCAAATTTACAAAATTTACAACATTTGACACGAAAAAACAATTTCTATAAAACTATCTAATATTAACACCTACCTATAGTTTTTTAAAGTTAAGATTCAGATTGGTCCACTTAATCTTTAGTGAAAGTATGAAAAAAAAGTTTAATTGTGAAACTCTGATTTTTTCATGATAATAGCCCAAAAATGGGTAAAAATTGATGAAAAATGGGAAAATCATAAAATTGTGTACTTTCAAATGGCCGTAGCAAAAAAAGAATTGCACCACCATATGATTTTTTCTTCATCAATTACTTTCTTAGTCATATAAACCCCAAAATTAGGTTAAGAAAAAAAGTTTAATTCTAGAAATTTTTGGCTCCTCAGAGGTGTACATCCTTAAGTCTTGAAAGACCAGATTATTTTTTTTTTCAGAAATGGGTTTTGAACTAGCTTTCAGTAACTGATGAATCTTAGATCAGTACTTTGTCAGTGTCTTTTTGTGAGTGGTCTTGTGTGCTTCTTGCCAATCTGATTTTTCGTCTCGCCTTGACGAAGTTAAAAAAGCCAGACTTAAGCATGCTGTATCCTGTGCCGGCGTCAACAATGCATTAGTTTGTTATTAGGCCAGTGTAAGGAGAACCACTAGAGGTAGGTAAATGGTATTTGGATTGCAGTTGTAGATGCATTGGCACATCAACATTTTATGGAGATTAAATGGTCTTACCCCCTCAGTCATGATCTATTTACTTTGAAACTTTTGCATATTTTATATTTACAAGTTTGTGATTAGGTAGGTTGATGACCTCTAATGGTAAGTCAATGATATTTAGTATGCAGTTGTATTATGATTTGCAATTCTCATTCATGAAGAATATATGGCCTACCTCCTCATCATGGTTCATTGACTTTGAAACTTTTGCATAGTTTACATTTTAAAGTTTGTGTTTAGTACAGTTTAAAGGGAACCAATTGTTTGCCAATGGTATTTGGTATGCAATTGTATTAGCATTGGTATTTCTCATTTCAATGGTGTTTATTGGGCTCTGCACCTTAATTCATCATCTTTAAAGAACTACTTGAAGTTGTTTCCCTAAAAAGGCTCTAACAATTATTTTTTCTAGGATAAACATGTTTGATTGCAAATCTTCACAAACATGATAAATTTCACAAACAGTTATAATTTTGAAAAAATTAATCTAATTTAAAAAATGGTTTCCAATATAAAACAATGAACATGTCTTTTCCATAGGGTTAAAAAAAAATAACTTCTTAAAATTACTTTAAGGTGGTACATAACACTACAGGGAGATAACTCTGTAAAAATCAGCTGAACGTTTTAATCACGTTCTATTGTTAAGGAAATATTAAGCTTCTCAATGATCAAAATTAATGTTTGTCAAACTGCTATATATCCAATGGAATTTTTCCAATAAAGTGTGTGGTTCAAGTTTTTTGAATTTTTTATATTTTTGTCAAATTTTTATGTAAATTAAACAAGCCAAACTAATTTTAGTCAAGGTGTTTGGTACCACCTTAATACTACAGCAACTCACAAACATGTTTAACCCCAACACATTTGTTCACGGACCTGTCCCATGCTAGGAGACTGTAATTAGTAATTGCTGTTGATTGATGTTTGCCATTTTTGTTTTTTGTTCATTGTTCATCATAAATCATCCCATTGGTTTTTTTTGTTTGAACTGTTTCACATTTTGTTTTGGTGGGGCCTTTTATAACTAACTATATATATGGTATGGGGTTTTAATTCAAAACATTTTCTAAAAGGATTTTAATAGTCCTCAACCAAAAGTGAAGAAGTTGAAAACATACATCTCCAATAAATTGTTTCTTTCCACGAGAATTTATGTATTTTATAAAGAACTCATCTTTGTAAACAGAAAATACTATTTATGCAGATCGATTGGAATAAAAATATCTCTTCAGCCTTAGCATGGTTGACATTCAAGGTAAAATATTGAAACAGGAAAACAGTATGGAACTTCAGTTGTCGAGTCCCTTAAACTAGGTCTTATCTAGATTTAGATGGAGAGTTGTTTCATTGGCACTCATACCACATCTTCTTATTTATATAGCCTGAATAACTTTTTTAAACATGCAATTGGTTGTTTTTCTCAATGTTGAAGGCCTCCATTGTATAAAATTATCACTTTTAACTGGCTGTTTTAACTAACAGATCAGAAAATATAACACCCCTATAGTAGGCAGGGCATACAAATGATTGTACCGTAATGCACTAGGTCAGTCCTCTGGAAATATTTTTTCATCTGTTTTTGTCAAATTAGGTTCTATTAAAAATTTCTTCTTTTTCCAAATCATTACCATTTCACTGAAGTTTGACAATGAATAAAACTAGAGGCTCTTAAGAGCCTGTGTCGCTCACCTGATTCTACTTTGGTTTTGGAAATCATGTAAAAATAGATTAAAATCATAACAGATACGCTAATAATGAGTGAGGCCAAATTTGGTTTAATATTGGTCCTGTAATTTAATAAAAAATCCTGGTGGCCATCTTGAACAGTAAATCGGCAACAAAGTAGCAACACTTAATCAGCACCTCATAAGAAACATTTATGCCATGTTTTGGTTTCATTCCATTCAGTGCACCTCTAGAAGAAGCATTTGTATGTATTTCCCATAGGGTCTTATGTTAAAGGAAGTCCCCCCATTGGCAGCCATCATGGATGAAGGATCAGCTTCAAAGTAACAAAACTTGGTCAGCACTTCATAAGGAACATTCATGCCATGTTTGGTTTCAATCCATTCAGTATGTGGTTCTCTAAAAGCATGAAAAGAAGACATTTGTACGTATTGTCCATAGGGTCCTTTGTTAAACATTGTCCACATCTGGCAGCCATCATGGATGAAGGATCAGCTTTAAAGTAACAACACTTGGTCAGCACCTCAAAAGGAACATGCATGCCATGTATGGTTTCATTCCATTCAATGGTTCTCTAAAAGAAAACATTTGTACGTATTTCTCATAGGGTCCTATGTTAAACTAAGTCCTCCGCTGGCGGCCATCTTAGATTATGGATCGGCTTCATAGTAACAACACTTGGTCAG